AACAATGATGAAGTACTGCTTCTCAGCACCTGCAGATGCAGGCTTTTAGAATCTAGCTAATATTAATGCAATCCACATGCAAAACAGTCCACTGGTAACTTCTGATGTTTACTTTTCAGCACCTTAGACAAAAAATAAACTCACTGATCTCACAGCCAAGTCCACTCCCCTTCTTTTTTGGGAGCTTCCTTCAAGGATGACATTTTAAATTCACCTTGAGATTAGACAGATTCCCAGGGCAGAATCCCTTTCAATTTATAGCGGTTATGCAATGTAAGCCATGGGGATTTCAGCTTGCCTTTACAAACTTGACTGTAGGTCTGAGACAAGAAGGATCTATTTTCCACATTCTGGCTCTAAATCAGAATCTGGAGATGCATACTTGGCTTCATATCTGAACCCTGTTTTAAATATGACTGGATACTTTTAACATTTCCACAAGGAAAGAAAATATTTGTGAATGCTCAGGGAAACAGGATCTTCTGAAGCATTAAAGAAAAACTGCTTTGGGTGCATGTAAAAAGTCATATCTCAATTTGACCAGATTTTTCAGCACAGTTACTATTGATATACACTTCTCCAACTTTCCTCTCCCAAGGTTTGGGAGACTTCCCAAAACACATCCTCCTCTTGTTTCAGGAGATTTTAGCGCTTAAGCTTATTCTTGGCCTGTCTCCTACTAGTTGAGCTTATTTGAAGCAATGTGAAAAACCAGAAAACATTAGAGATCCAACAGCAATAAAAAGGAATTCTTATTGCTTCTAGTGCCCACAGGAAATAAGGAAGAGGAAGAGAACACATGTAGAGAATTAGTCAAGGAGGCTAGGGAGATATTGCATTATTCCAGTGTATCCCAGGCTGCAACTCTTGAAGGTTGTTTTGAGAAAGGTGAAGAGTTCAGTTTGTTGTACATGTTAGTCCTCTTGGTCTTTTGGTAATTGACTGCAGCTTCAAACAAGTTACATAATCATGCCAGCATTCTCATCTACAAAATGAGTGGTATTTACTGTACTGACTACACAGGAAACAGACTTAATAGTCATACTAAGGCACAAAGACCTTTAGTTCTCAGATGATAAATACACATTTTCCATTAACATCTCCTAGCAGTCCCACAGAAAATCTGCCCTGGCTAGCTACCATTCACAGGATTTTCTCCCAGTTTTTCTAAGCTGAGCTCTCATATAAGCCCACCAGCTATATTCTTCAAATCAGCTTGAGGAAGGGGAAAGAGCTTTAAAGATCTACAGCAGTGGATTTCAGATTTTTCGTATGCAGGCCTCATTTTCTTTATGGAATCCATATCTCTATAGGAAAATATACAATAAGTTTAGTCCTATAACAATTATGTTCAGATCCTATGATTTGCAGACTACAGGTCCGAAACTACTGCAAGAGAAATTCAGAGTTTTGCAGAGTGAATTCTGAAAAGATTTTGCTAAATTTTCCATGAAAAACAACCACATATACAATTATATTTTGAATGTCTGGTTGTTTCAGCTCTTATGATGTAAAGGAAAAAAATGAAGTCTTTTTAAACTTCATACACAATTTGTTAAAATGTAGAACTTTTGGCTCGAACTAAGTAAAATTGCAATTTTATCAGCTCTAACCAAGAAACTTCATGTGGTACATCAAACCCAGGTTTTCTCCTGCTGCAGAAGAAACTTGGCTTGAACAAACAGTCAATATGAAAGTGTTCTTGATCTAGAATACACACGGATGAGCAATATCATTCCTAAAACCCTATCCTCCCTGTTTTTTCTAACAATATTGATTTAAGTTGGAGAAACAAGAATCAATGTTTTCAAACCCTTGAAGATAAAGGCAGCATTCTTTACCAAACCCCTAAAAGTGCAACTCTCAAGTACTAAGTGTGTAACTTAATAGAAGAAGATGAGCAGCCAAAAGCCATGGAAGTGTGTAATACTTTTATTATATTTAACATAGGAGCGTTAAACAAAATACTGAGTTCTATAAGCTTCTGGGAGTTTTAGTTATTTTAGTTCTAAAGTAAAATAAACTTGCCAGTTATTTTTCAATAAACTCTATTCCGAAGCCTCATGATGGAAGTTCAGATGGATATTTCAAATTTGTCTTCCTGATACAACCAATTCATTTCACTTCAAACTCCAGACACATTGTTATGCATTTAAATCCAGAAAAAGGATTAAGAGTTAGAGCAGCTTCTTGACAATGCTAATATATGCATTTATACACATCGTTAGATAGCTAGCTGATTCTGGATATGTATGTCCAACAAGCCACTGAGCTTTCAGCTTGTATTTTATTATTCATGTACATGTGTCTAAAATTAAGCACTGTCGTAGGACCATAATATAGCATTTAGCTCTAGTTCACTCAGTTCTTTCACAATCCTAGAACTGTACTGCACCTTCACTAAATTTAGTCTTGTTTTGCTAACCTTATTTTGAATTGGCAGGCTGACAAAAAGTTTCTATTAAAATGAAACTAGACTTCAAATGTTCACTCCCCTCAAAAAAAGAGCTTCATTCATCAGTAATTCCTTTACCAAGGTCTGTTTATTTTCAGACGTCTTACTGGCAGTAAATTTTAAAATCTGTTTAACAGAGTTTGAGAGAAATAAACTATGGAGCAGCTATGGAAGAGAGCTGCTCTGGCACCTGATATTCATGGCTCTTGATATCAATATCAGGATTGGGTCAGTGACACCGTTACTAGCTCACTGTAAGATCAATAATCAGTGATCACCTGTGAATGTGTAGCAGGCAGATTAAGGTATCAAAAAGAAATCTTGCCATGTATAGAAGAGAAAATGATATAATTGCCAGAGTTACAAGGAGAACAGAATTTTAGGACTACACATCCAAATTATAAGTTGAGCTCAAGCAATCTGAAATTCATGACTGATCTTAATATGCAGAAGTCCAGGTTTCTTTCTGGTTACTGGATTCTTTGCTTTCCAGTTTGTTTGTTTCTGACTAAAGAGAAAGTGGGCCAGCTCTTCCGTCTTTCTTTGCAATTTCTGAACCAGACTGATCTTTATCTGAAAAGAGGTCATACCTCATCCATTTCTGATATCTGGAGGTTTAGGGGAAAAGGGGCTGAACACCTGCACGCATAAGCTACAAGGAACTTACTCCTAGTAGTTACAGGCCTGCAGAGTGACCTTGAGCCAGTTACAGGAATTTACTACAGCACGTTTAAAAAGTGGTGCAACACTTACCTTCTACACAGAAGTGTGCTGCAAGATAATTATGTGTGGCTTATGTATAACAGATTATAAAAATATCTTGGCACCCTTCCCTGTACTTTCACAATACATCACCAATATACCTCCTGCCTTCCTATTCTAGCTCTGACTTGGATATAGAGCAAGAGAAGGCAAAACAAAAACAGAATTTGCTCATTTCAGAAGTGACAAAAACAAGTTTTC